TTTGTTTATTTAGTTTCATGTCTATTAAACTATCAACACTGGCTCCATTTGTAGTCCCTGGACAGCCGACCAACTTCCAGGTTGGTGAGGTGTCAGACACGAGTGTTGAGCTAACATGGGAACCGGCCTTCGAGAAGGAGGGAATCATCAGTTACGAACTGCATTACAGAGAGGGCAGGCAGGAATCTCAGGTGCCTTCTCCACAACAAACCTTCTCAAATATGTTGTCAGGACCACTGTTGCACATGTCATTAGCAGTAACGTTATTATTTTCGGCCAAACAGGTAAAGAAAACATTCGGGCCAACCTCTTCCTATGTGGTGGAGGGTCTACGTGCAAATACAGAGTACTTCTTCTCTCTGGCTGCCGTCTCCAACAAAGGCATTGGAGCCTTCACCAACGAAATATCCCAAAGGACATCCCAAGCCAGTATGTAGTCCATTTCCTTTCCTAGGGACCCGAATGAAGTGTTTGGGGAGGGGGGGGGTCTAATATTGTATTTTGATTGAGAAATGCTAAGACACAATGGCAATTTTGAGCTTTTGATGGGGTTGGGAGACAACACCACACTGTTTGAAAGGGCCACTGTAACCTTCACCCTAGTTTTCCAATCCAGGGATATTGCTTATCGACTCCAGAACTATCAAGAGTAAATGATAATGGTGTGCTTGTGTGTGCAGCAGATATGTGTTAAAGACTGGATGCTTGTCTGGTCACTGGTTTTTGACCGGTGTTCTGCTTCAGGTTTTCTGGCAGTGGTTCTTTGCCTCATTCCTTTGTGTTGTGTTTGTTTATGCATCTGAATGGCACAAAACAGCATCACATTTGAGCCAGAAGTGAGTTTTGCTACATGCAGGCTGCAAAGGTGATGTTGTTTTGATGAAAATATTTCCAAATGGCTTGGCAAAGCTTTATGCTTTTGTAGCGACTCAGCTCATGGGAAATATGAATAATTAACCATAACTAGTTATAATTAATTATTCATATTTTAGATCCGCTGTAGATATTTAGTTGACCTCTCAGGGTCAACTGTCTTGTCAATTCTAAGAATGTTAATTTCCTGGTTAAGGGAAATAACTTTCTTACTGTACAATTCTACAAAGCTTGTAGCGTAAATCTGCATGATTAGTGACTCCGGATGAATAATGGGTGACAAATGCACTTGTGAATGTGGCATTTCCACAATTCTGCATGATTCTAGCTAACTTCCAAGCCAGATAAACGAAGAAAAAATTATGTGCACCTTCAAAATGATTCCTAGTAGTTTTTTTATGCTTTCATGTTTTAGTGTAAAGGTTAAAAAAAAAGTCGTGTTGGTTTGAGAAGGCTAAATTGATCAAGCATAATGCTCAACTCACTGTCTGCCGCTGCCGCTTGGTCGTTCCTTTAAAAAAACTAAAACTTGAATTTAACAAGCATAAAATGTTCCAAACATATTTCTAAATTAACTTTATAAAGAAACAAAAAGAAATATGACCACTTTGCCATTAAAAACCAAAACTGAACTATTTTAATAGCTGTGTAATGGGGAAGAGAGAGGTATGTACATTACTAAGCACTGAAATATAAAACAAATAGAAAAGGAAAAATTAAACACTGCGTCGTCAGAGTTGGTATGTGGCTTTATCAGACACTTGCACTTAACATTTTATGAAAATCAAGCTCAAATGGAGTTAATAAGGTTTTTGACCAGCGAATGACGGAGATCTGTGTTTTGTCTGTCATTACAACGGCCGCATCTGAGGCAGCAAGTGCATCGCATTATATGCTTTCATCAACTTACAGGTTATAACATTTATTGTAGCTATATGGGCGCTTAGATTTTCATGTCGTTTAATACACTTGGCCAGAATCTCATGATAGACGATGAAGCGCTATATGCACAGGATATTTAAAACATAGCCTACAAAAGTAGCCTATTGGTTACAACTAGACGCCACATAAAAAACATTAGCCTTTATAAACATAGTGTTTTAGTGAAGAAAACGCTGTACTTACTCAAACATAATTTATTATTTACCCTTGCATTGCGAACAAGCTGAGATCTGTCTCCAGGCTGTGCGGCGCTGCGCTTTGTTCTGAATGGAAGCAGGGTGAAGTTAAGAGGTTTTGCTGACAGTTTGAGGATCCATAGCGTTAAAAAGTTTAGTGACAAGCTCTTTTGAATGCACTGTTAAAAATGTATTGTAAAAATGACATCAATTGCTAACAGTGTGCTTTTCATTGGTTAAATATTTGTAAAACCCCCAAACAGACATAAGGAAGACCAATAGCAGTGATTTAAAACAATAATAACGAAATATAATAGAGTTTGGATTTTCCACGACACACCTGACTGGGCTAGGGTATGGTGACTGCCATACGGAAACACCGCTCCTGGGACAAAGCCAAATTATTATCAATGTACTTACTCACACGTACATTTATCCACACGTACGTTATCCAGATGCTTATCCACATGTACGTTATCCAGACGCAAAGTAAAAAAATCCTTTCTTTGCTACGTCGCCGCCACGCCTCCGCGCAGTTTGAGCGCAGCTCCGACACGTGACCGTGACGTCTAACGTCTCATATCTTACGTCTGACGCCTGAATACTGCTTCTAATACTGCTTCTGAATACTGCTTCTGCATCCCCTTGTCCAAATACCCACACTTGTGGTCTTGGCCACTTGAGAGCACGTGCGCGCGACAGGAAGTAAGTGCGCAAGACTGACCCAGGTCTTAAAAACGCCAAAGTGCAGTGCCCTTAACGCACACTATCTCGAATACCGCTCCGGAGCGCTATTCGAGGCTTAGTGTATCCCATCATGCATCATGTTCTGGAAATAAATCGTGAGACTTTTTGCCGAGATCTCGCGAGAGGTCACGGAAACCTTTCCAATGCAATTTAAATATTAATATAATAATTAGATATTACATATCATTTGGTAGAAAAACTGTGTTTTTACGTTTTATTGGTGCAAAGATGAGTAGTGGTGATATTTATTTTGTACAGCATTTGCAACTGCTTTTTATCACTTAATTAGAGGCACCACAAATTAAAATGGTCATGTTATAGGGACTACTGAACAGACATTTAGAAGTTGATTTTAAAATGCAAAGTATTTAAAAGTAAAATAAAGCTATATAAACACTTGCATTTTTACAACACTACAAGTGTGTCCCATCAGGTAATGAAAAGTTCGACACACACTTGTGGTCTTCATGCTCACTTGAACACTTGGGCCAAATATAGGAAATACGTCATATAAGTGGTCAAGTGCAAAGACCGCAAGTGTGGGTATTTGGACAAGGCATATGGGATTTTGGCCAGACGGCTGGCGAGCGTATACACGTTAGTTCTCCTCTCAGTTTGCTTAGCAATCAGCAAAAAGTGCATATATCACACCCCATACGTCAAAGCTTCTCTATCCCTATCCTGTATTGACCCGAATACATCTGAAAAAACGCAGTCGTCTTATATTCAGGGTCTAGACTTTGATGTGTCAATAATACACACACAACAATAGGTGGCGCCAAATACGCATAAAACGAGTGTGCCGTGAAATACGTAATGTAACGCGTGTTGTAAAGATTGCGAGAAAAAACTAAAGAATAAGAAAAGCTTACAGCTGCATGAGTCGTGACTGTCACGTTAGCCTGATGGCACCAAACTCCCTGTGATTTTAAAACGTAAGACGGTAACCAGATTCGAAGACTACAGTAAGATTTAACTTCTACTGTTAATAAGATTTTGGTAGGCTACTATTAGATGGATAGCCTAAATGTCCTAATTCATGTTTTGGTTTTTTTATGATATATCAAAAAGTGTATATTTTTTAAATGTGATTGTTGGTACATTTGACCAGTTTTTACCATACTTTCAAAACAAAAATTTAAATATTAAAATATGCAATATGAAAATAATTGAAGACAAAATGTGTTTTACTGAGAAAAAAACAGATTTGGTTTTTAAAAAGCCTTTTTCCAAAAGGTACATCTGGAAAAAGGGGGGTCGTCTTATAATCAGGGTCATCTTATATTCGGGCCAATACGGTACACTCACGAGCTCTCGTCAGATGCGGCTGTCAGAAAATCTATATATGACTGCGCTGCAGGCCGTTGACGGTCACGACTACACACTGTACGCGAGACGCTTACACCTCAGAGGTGAACTATAACCTCAATACATCACTCACGGCTAGCTTTTTGGTCCTTCGTCTTAAAGTACATCTGTCACCCTTCACATTTTAGCCCTTCTCAACTAACGATGCACCGAAATGAAAATTCTTGGCCGAAGCCGAACAAAATGAAACACTGGGCCGAAGGCCGAATACCGAACACAGAGTTTTTTTCCCCCATGTATTTCCGACCCCGGGGCCCCCCCCCCCCATTGCATAGATTAAAAAGCCAAAATGTGCTTTTTACGGTTTTATCTTGCTTTTCAAAGAAAAAAAAAAAAAATTACAAAACAACAATTTAAAAATATTTAACACTGAACATTTTTAACATTCTAGCAGACACTATACCAATAAAGCACAATTTAACTTAAAATTAATAAGTTAGTAAAATAATATTTTTTGGCCATCAGACCCCCTTCTTGAATCAGGCATGTATTTTTTCTTTTTCTTTTTTTTTACTGTACAATTAAAAGCAGCCTTGCTGAGAAGAGACTTCTTTTAAAACATTAGGAAATATTACAGATCCTAATTTGAACACTGTGTGACTTATAATAAATGTATTAAAACAGAGCTGTTGTAATGATTATTATTATTGTCTTTTTCCTTTCTTTTACAGAACAACAGTAAAATGACAATACTAACATTTATGAATGTTGAGGAGTTCTTTTTCTCAACTTTTATTTTGGCGTAAACGCGCAGGAAGACCTCAATGCTTCTTTTTGTTGACAACAGCAGATTTATAAATGAGTCTCATTACGAATACGTCGTACGTATCGCATTGTCACATTCCTTTTTGCATACGCAGATTTTCCTCGCGCTTTGAACCCTGGTTAACACAATAGTATCCAGCTGCAGACCCGCAGCCCCAGCAGTTTCAGAACCGCAGCCACAGAACCGGAAGTGAGGGGCGGGGCTTACTTTTTTTTTTTAACAGAGTAGCGCCACCTTACGGTTTATTACACACGATACGTCATACTTTATGTAAGCATTTTATAAACATTAATCTTGTGTAATTTAGTTGTGATTTAGCGCACCGGAGCAGTTCCACCGGGCTCACGGTTCAAAGAACCATGATGTTTTTGATGTCTTGTTTTTGCTCTACCAAACAATTATGACCAATACTAACAAAAGTGGCGAACCTCTGTGCGTTTGTGTTGTGCAAGGTGAGCTTTCATGACTTCAGAATGAAACAAAGTCCTCAGGCTTCATCCTCTCCCCTCTCTGGAACTTCGCTTCAAGTGTGTTTATCCGCAACCGAGATTCAGGGGCTCGCCTGCCTGCCCATGGGCGGTTAAATAATTAATTTGCCGTGCATACCTGACTGTTTGATCATCTCCTCATATCTGTGCGCTTTCTGGATTTTAGCATGTTCCCCCTAGAGAGCCTCTTCTCATGTCTTGTTGTGTCAAGCTTGACCTACTGCCCTGCAGAGAGAAAAAAGCGAGCGCCAGCGGAGGCCCGCCGAGAAGAGACGAGGTAGACAGCATCATAATTTGAAGAGCCAAGAGCAAACTGTGCTGGGTTCTGAGGGAAAAAAATGAAAATTTTTTTATTTTCTAAAACTAGCGTAATCCACAAAGAACAAGCAGTAATGGTAGAAAAGAAGACAGCTCCTGCGCTCCAGAAGCTGGAATAGCTAGGTCACGATCTATCGTCAGCGACTGTCAGGCCTGCATGTCGTTAGCTTACAGCTGGCATGTCTTACGGGAAACGTGCGTAGGGTTTTGGATGCTTCACCTGACAAGGAGCTTTCAAATCAAGGCAGAGTCGCAGGTACTTTATTATTCAGTTCCCCCTAGAGAGCCTCTTCTCATGTCTTGTTGTGTCAAGCTTGACCTACTGCCCTGCAGAGAGAAAAAAGCAAGCGCCAGCGGAGGCCCGCCGAGAAGAGACGAGGTAGACAGCATCATAATTTGAAGAGCCAAGAGCAAACTGTGCTGGGTTCTGAGGGAAAAAAATGAAAATTTTTTTATTTTCTAAAACTAGCGTAATCCACAAAGAACAAGCAGTAATGGTAGAAAAGAAGACAGCTCCTGCGCTCCAGAAGCTGGAATAGCTAGGTCACGATCTATCGTCAGCGACTGTCAGGCCTGCATGTCGTTAGCTTACAGCTGGCATGTCTTACGGGAAACGTGCGTAGGGTTTTGGATGCTTCACCTGACAAGGAGCTTTCAAATCTAGGCAGAGTCGCAGGTACTTTATTATTCATTGGGCAATAAATGATTCAGAGTGGCGTCGACGTGCACATTGTCTATGGTGTAATTACCGGCATGCTGAAAAACAGCCACTTTCCATTTGCACTGATGCACGACGGCCCCCGTTTCTTGTCGACATCTCTATCGTAGCAGAACGGGTCACGAGCCCACTCCAGTCATAGTCCCTTCGCTCGCTATTTTACATTCGAATGCACTGCGAGTAACTGTTAAATTGCGTGTGTGTGTGTGTGGGTGTGTGTTCTATCACTCGGTAATTTAATTTAATTGATTTGCTGTGACAGTGGCCTTGTGACGAATTGGGTTAGCTTCACTTTACCTGCACTCACTGTTCACTATAGTTTGCTAGCAGCATGCTACTCTTACTATTTCTGCAGTACGAAAATTTTTTGTATGGCATGCTAAAATGTGTAAAAAACACTGTAAGAGGCTATTTTCCCACAATGCAATGCGCTCAACTTGACCGTGCATTTCCAGTATGAACGGGAAGTGATATCAGCTGTCATTATCTCTTTCTTGCCTCTTTTGACCAGTCTGGCAAAATGTAAGGTGTTTTGGTGACAAAAAAAGCTGAATGCTAATCTTATTTTGCTTGTTTTCTTTTTCTTTAGCTCCACCCAGGTTCACAAAAGTACCTGTCGATATGATCGGCGTCTCCGGAGGTGTTGTATCCTTCGTATGCCAAGCCACAGGTGACCCCAAGCCAAGAGTAACCTGGAATAAGAAAGGAAAGAGGGTGAACTCTCAACGCGTCGAGGTGAGACTTAGCGTGCTAGCACTTATTCAGTATATCAGTTGAATAATCAGCCGTTTCTATGGTATTTCTCACAAAATGCCATTAAAAAGACGTCAAGAGATTTTTTTGGGGGTCAATCTGAAGTGATTACATAGCATACATGTCTTAGCTTCTGTGGGTTTTAGCCTGTGTTTTATATTCCTTTCTTGTTTGCGGTGTTCTTTTGTCATAACACAGCTGGCAGCTATAGTGTTGATCAATGTTTAGTGTATCTTAATTAAAACTAGCTCTGTATTTAACCACGTTGTCACTATTCAACAAAGATGAAAAACTTTCCTTAAAAAACAAAGATGAACACAAAAATAAGTTGGCGGTTCCGATCCACTCGTCGGCATGAACCCAAGAGTATGCTCAAATTATCATCTTGGTTGCATTGAAAAGTAATTTCGTGAGGGGTTTGAATTAATTCATTTCCCCGAAGGTTTTGCTTTGATATTGATCTACACACACTTAGGACAGTGTGGTATCACTGGACTGCTTCTCATTATCGTAGCCTTGAAAACTCACCCTCCAAAAAAGCGAAGAGAGTTTTGCCACTGGCTTAAAAAAAGAGCCTCGTTCCTCTTTGTCATTCCCTATTGATTCGAGCGACTGTTTCGCTACAATGACATCAAATGCGAAGGCACCGCAGGAGCCTAATTATCTCTCTCGCATAATTTGAGCTCACAGCAACATCTAGACGTTAAAGGACATTTTGGCGCCTTAAAATATGAGCACAACTATTTTTTGTCAGAATTAATTGATGTAAACATGAAAAGGGCTATGGTTAAGGGTCAAAAGTTGGGGGTGCTGGTTGATCAATTCAAAACTTTTCAGCAGGGAAGTTACATGTCATTTTCTAAGACCGTTCCCCCTAGAGCAACTAGGAATTAAGTGCCTTGCTCTCAAGGCACGCGGTAACTCTCCAATTCTGGGATTGAATTCACAGTCTTTGTGTCTTCAGGCCAGATTTTTAACTACCAACCTACTGTTAATGACATTTTACCATGAAACATTTCAATGTAATATACCAACTCAATCTTTGTCCTCTCACACAGACAGTAAAGTTTGACGAAGGTGCGGGAGCCGTCCTAAGAATCCAGCCTCTCCAAGCGCCTCGAGACGAGAACATCTACGAATGTGTGGCAGAGAACAGCAAAGGCGAAATCAGTGTCCAGGCTAAGCTGTCAATTATCAGAGGTAAGACTAAAGGTTGACCTTTTTTTTTTGTGTTTTTTTTGTGAACCAACCATTAATGTCAGGAGTTTCCAATCCTGCCCCAAGAAGGCCACTGTCATGTTAAGTTCATCTACCTGGAAGTTTCTACACTACAAAATCTGTCACTGCAATGGTATCCTTTCAACAAGTACACCCTTTTACCTTACTTACCCCTAAAAGGTGCCATAGCACCTTAAAGGTACATATTTATACCTAAATGGTACCTTTTTATAAGGCTACCGTTCCAGTAACAACTTTTGTACCTTTTTTCTGAGAGTGTAGTGATCCTGAAGACCTTGATTAGTTAGTTCAGGTGTGTTTAATTAGGGCTGGCGTTAAACACTTCTGGAAGTTTACCCTCCAGGAGCAGGGTTGGATCTCCCTGCTTTAAGTGTACACCTCCCGCCAGTTTTCGGAACCCACCTCCCAAAATGTTTTAGATATGTCTCTATTCAACACACTAAGAAACTGATGAGTTGAATCAGATGTTTTAATTAGTGAGACATCTAAAACATTCTGGAAGGTGGGTCCCCAAGACTGGAGTTGAGAAACACTGCCCTACAGGACCATCTAGGCAAATGGGGAAACTGACCAGCGTTCTCTGGTTAACCTGAATGTGACACAATCTTACTGTTGCAGAAACTCTAAATCCGTCCTAGCCAATCACAGAACCTCTGTCGTCCTCACCATCGAGTTATCCGGTTGTTCCCCGTGCGCTGAGATCTAGCCATCTGCCTCGTCAATGCCGAGCGCTGGAGCAGGCAGCTTGCAGGCTTCTTCCTGGGCCTGAACCCAAGCCGAGGGTTTTTGTAGGCAGCCCAGTTTTACATGAAAACCCTGGCTTAGGCAAGACCCATGCGGCTCAGGAAGGAACACAGGCGGTAGCACAAGGGGGGGGGGGGAAACGGCTGCTGCCCACTTCGCTCTCTCATCCCCATCTGCTGTGGGCTCGCAATTACATTGAACCTCATCAATAGAGCAAGCCCCACTCACACTCATACAAAGGACGACACATGTGTCCGCACATTCCCAAAAGAGCGCCTCTGCTCCTGAACGCCTGTGCAGACATTAATTAAAATCAATTAAACTGTCCACTATTCCAGCTGCTATTTGTGGTCTCCAGCAGGTTCTTCTTTCATTTTGTCCCTGGCCAACTTCTGAAACTGGTGACTTCATTAAGTACCCAGTCACCTTGCCGTCTTCAGGGAGTGTCCACTCGCCTGCTGCAGAGAAAACACAGGAAGGCTTTGCTGTAGATCTGCCGGTGCTCTTTCCAGGGGTTTAGGTTTGTTATTAGCTGCCTTCTGGCTGCCCACAAGAGCGGTGAGCAGAATGCTTAAGATGTGCCATCTGCTTTTCCACCGTGTCGCAGAATCCTCTGAGAGTCCTTGGAGGAGTCTCGGAGAAAACTGAGGCAAAGACACCTGCAGCCGTCGCTGCTGCTTCTTCTCCGTGTCTCTAAGGGCGTTGAACCCTCGCTTCCCCTCCTCCGCTTTCTTCTCTTGTAGCCTCGCTGTTTTTCTATTCAATCTGACCCTGGCTTTCAGCCCTTCTTGGCAGTCTTGTCCACCAGCGACCCAGAGCTAGCATTTCATAGAATCCAACACCAACAGCAGCCCAGGTTTTGCCATCTGCTCGCTTCCTGCGAGGTGTCAGACGCTCACACGCTTCTTTACACATTCAGGTGTGCCTGGCCTTAGCTTGCCCCTGGTCATGCTGTGAGAGCGCTAGGTTCAGAGTGCTGGCCAACAAAAGATCAGAGCGGGAATGCTGGACCGCACAGCCACGGGTAACCATCGTGCAACCCAAAATCCAAAGGTGTCAGACCACCTTCCCAAAACATTAGCTCTTTTCCAAAACCTTCTATTTTTTTTAGACAACATCATAGGCTAACTCCAGATGTGAAGGCTTTTGTGAAAGTTGGCTAGTTTTAGCAGCAGCGCAGACTGTATTATGTGGATAAGGCAACACCAGAATGCACTGCGCTAGGCTCAGTGGGAAAAAAAAGTCCATAGCAAAGAAGGCCAATAGCTTTCGATTTTAACCAATATTTGCGTCTACGGTCTATTTTTAATCTCATTGGAGTGTTGTGTGTTTAGCATAGCAATATGTTAAAACTGTTGTAATATGTTGTGGATCAATATAATTGCTAAAAGTGGTTAGGGTCATACATGCACTCTTTTACCTTCTCTTTATTTGTGCCATGTATTTTTAAACTTATTCAAGTGTTGTGCTGTTAGGTTAGCAACATGTTAGCAAGAAAGATTTGTAATATGTTGCGGATCAATACAATTGATAAAGTAGTTTGGATTAGGGTTACAAGTAGGGTTGCCAACTTCAGAAAAGGAAAATAAGGGACAACCGTGGTTTTTCATAGAAAAATAAGGGACAGAATAAGGGACACACACAGGCCTATTATATATATATATATATATATATATATATATATATATATATATATATATATATATATATATATATATGTACTGTATATAAAACAGGTATATATCTTTTAGATTTGTAATGTTTTTTACTGGAGTCTCTTATGCTTATCAAGGCTGTATTTATTTGATCAAAAATACAGACAAACAGTAATATTGTTAAATATTATTGCAATTACTAATATTGGTTTCCAATCTTATTATACTTTAAAATATAATTTATTTCTGTGACGCAGCACTGAATTTTCAGCATCATTACTCTAGTCTTCAGTGTCACATGATCCTTTAGTCATTTAGTCATAGATCATAAGTCATTCTAATATGCTGATTTATTATCAGTGTTGATAATATTATCAACTGTAGTGCTGCTTACTATTTTTTGGAACCTGTGTTCCATAAATAAAATAAAAAGTTAAAAAGACCAGAATTTATTCAAAATATAAATCTTTTCTGACAATATCACTTTTTATCCATTTAACACCTTAATCCTTGCTGAATAAAAGTATTCTAAACATTTCTTTAAAAAAAAAAAAAAAAAAAAGAAGTGTACTGACCCCAAACTTTTGAAAAATATTGTATATTTAACAACATTTTTATTTGGAATAAATACTGTTATTTTTAACTTTTTATTTATCAAAGAATCCTTAAAAATATCACAGGTCCCAAAAAATATTATGCAGCACAAATTAGAAATCAGCATGTTATCATGATTTCTGAAGATCATGTGACACTGAAGACTGGAGTAATGATGCTGAATATTCAGCGTTGCTTCACAGAAATAAATGATATTTTAAAGTATATTAAAATATAAAACTGTTATGTTAAATTGCAATAATAGGCTATTTCACAGTTTTTTTTTCTGTATTTTTGATCAAATAAATGCAGCCTTGATGAGCAGAAGAAACTTCTTTAAAAAAAACTTTTGAACAGCAGTGTGTATAAATTATATACCTATATCTACCTCATGAACAGTTAAATATTCTCCCATTGTGCAATAACCTTATACTATTTATCACCCTACATCCTAGTACATCCCTACAACTTTTTTTATACTATTCATATTCTACAGTATGTTATCTATAGCACACCTGTACATATTTATCCTTTTTGTGTGTGTGCTTTATTTTTTTTTAAAAATTCAAATTTTTAATTTATTTTTTATACATTTTTATGATTTTTTATTTATACATGTGTATTTTATTCACTTATTTTTTTTATTATCTGTGTGTTGTCTCTGTCTGGAAACTTGGACACTATAACAAATTCCTTGCATGTGCAAAAATACTTGGCGATAAAGCTCTTTCTGACTTCTGATATGCGTGTGTGTAATAGCTATACAGTAGGCCTGTATATATGAAAATGCATTTTTCAATTAAAGAACTTATAGAATTAATATGGACTGCTTTGGGTGCTTGACACTTCGTTGGTCATGTTGTGTTTTAAGAATGATATTCAAGATTAAGAATACGCTGTTAAATATTAATATTATTTAAATATAAATTGTTTTATCTAGGTTTAACAACATTACCTACATTGTAGAAAGACGACTTTCCTTATTGATCACGTCTTCCCTCAGGTAAAATGCACGTTTTCTTGCGTGGCTGGATATGAATCACGTTGTTTGCATTCGCCCAAACTGATTTGCTGAAGTCGAAACGCGGACGTTAAAAAAACCCAACTCTATTAGCACGAGTCCTGCTCACTGTGAAGTGGGAGCGAGAATTGCGCTTGGTCTTAAAGCCTCCCTCGAACGTCTACGTTCACAAATCAAACACTTGTCAAAAAAGAATGATTCATTCTCAATTTAGAGTTTGATATTAGTATGGTCTAGGGTGGTCATATGGCATATGCTTTAAATACGGGACAAATTGCGTTCCGTATAGCTTTCATACAGCTTCTTTGATGCCTTAAATATGGAACGGTTGGCAACCCTAGTTACAAGTGTACTATTTTCCTTAGTATTTGTGTGTTATGTATTTTTATGTTGCTTAGTGCTGTTAGCTTAACAGCATGTTAGCTGGCAACTAACTAACAACTGTTTTTCTCTTGTGGATTGATAAAATTGATTAAAAGTAGTTAGACTTAGGGTTAGAAGTTCACAGTTTTACCTTTTATTTGTGTGTGCTATGTATTTTTAAACTTATTGGCTTACTTTGCTGTTAGCCTTGCAACATGTTAGTGGGAAACATTACTAATATACTGTGGATTGATAAAATTGTTAAAAAATAGTTAGGCCTAGGGTTACAATGCACTATTTTAGCTAATATTTGCTATGTATTTTATTCTTATTAGTGCGCTGTGCTGTTAGCTTAGCAACCTGTTAGCCAAAAACTCTTGTACTCTGTTGTGGATTGATAAAACTGATACAAATGCTAGGTTTAGGCTTACAAGTGCACTATTTTACCTAATATGTTTGTGTACTGGATATTTTAAGCTTATTGGAGTGTTGTGCTGTTAGCTTAACAGCATTCTAGACAAAAACTCTTAATAATCTGTTGTGGATTGATAAAATGATTACAAATAGTTAGGTTTAAGGCTGTG